CCGATCCGACTGGTCCGACTTGATCGCTCGATTCTTCTCAACAACACCTTCACCTCCCTCAGCCTCCCTCCTCCCCCACTCCCCCCCTTTACAACACCCTACACACCGCCGAGCTCAAGCTGGTGGTCATTACAACACAAACACACACACAAGATACACACATACCAACACTGAAAAAAAATAAAAAAAATAAAATAAAAAAAATACAAATTACCGAAACCACTCTCAAGAATGACTGACACCATCTCACATCCAACCAGAATCAGAATCATCTCATCAGCAAACAACAACAACAACAACAACAGCAGCATCAACAGCAACAACAACAGCAACTCACTCAAACGCAAACAACCAACCTACCAACAACAACAACAACAGGCAAACGAGGCTGCTAATCAAACACTGCCTGGCACTTCAAAGAAGGTAAATCAAAACACCCGTTGACTATCTCAACCAGCCATCACTCACTCACTAACCACCACCAACTCTCCATCATCCTAACAAACAGCTCACACTTCGACTCAGACCACCACCACCACCACCACCCCCACAGCAGCCATCATCCTCATCCTCTTCCTCCCCGCTCCCTCCTAATGCGATCCCACCCACCGGACCAACTCTCGATCAGATTAACCAGATCAGATCACTTGGACTACAGCTATGGCATCGAATCGTCAACTCAACCGATGCTGAGTATGCCTCAATCACTACTCACTTGCTCTCTTGAACGCTCCGAAATACTCACATCCTTCTTCTCGAATCCTGCAGTGGTCGGTTACGTTCGATCGATTTCATGGACCTGCCCTCCGCCGTCGATTATCCGGACTACTATCAGTTCATCAAACATCCAATCGCCCTCAACCTGATCAAATCTAAACTTGACTCCGAACACGACCCCTACCTCTCCTTGGACACATTACTCTCCGATCTCAAGCTAGTCTTCTCAAATGCAAAAAAATATAACGTCGAGTATAGCGGGATCTATAAGGATGCTCAGGCTCTTCTGGTGGGTATCTGCTCGCTCACTCTGACTGGCAAGGTTCTTTTCTGTTATCATTCCTTCTCGCTAGTCTTGACAACCTGCTCCAATCATTCATAGAAAATCGTCCGCAAGGATCCCTTCACGACCACCAGGGGTGGCGATCTCAAAAATCAGGCCGAGCTACCCGAACCGAAACAAAAAAAGTTGAAGCTCAAGCTTCGGCCATCCCAACCCACTCAACCAATCCCCACACCCTCTACCACCCCTGCAAACGGGATCAAACCAACACCTCCAGCAACTTTCGTCATACCTCCGACTCCTGTCGACCCGGTATCACAAAATGGAACCCTCGCCCAGACACAATCACAACCCGCCACAGCACCCGCACCAGTTGAAACACGTGCCCAAACAACTGACTCTCAAGCACAGCCGCAGGCCTCCCCTAGCCAGCCCCAAGCTTCAGCCAGTGCTCAGCTTCCATCAATGTCTTCACAAGAAATAGAGCGAATACAATCCGAAGTCAGGGCTCAGACGGAGGCTCGTAACAGGGCCCAAGCAGAGGCCCAACTGAGAGAACTGCGAGCTCGGGAGGAATCTCGAAAACAGGAAGAGGCCCGCCAGCATCAACTCCGACAACAGGCTCAAACGCGTCAACTTGAGTTACGACAGCAAGCTGAAGCCCAAAAAGCTCAACCACTACGAACTCAGGCCCCACCTCCCACACGCCCCGAATCACACGCGCCAGCTCCTTCGCAAACCGAATCACCACTGCTCGCACAAGTCCCCGTCCAAGCTCATGCAAGATCACCCGCGCGGGTCCAAGCACAACTACAGCTGCAAAGTCCCTCTCGAGTCGAGACACCAACCATAAACCAATCCCGACTCCCAGAAAGATCCACCCCAACCACCCGTGCTTCTCATGCCCGAGCAAGTCCACAAGTCGCAAGACCAACAACTCCCACTCCATCTCAATCACGGCTCTCTCCATCTCCCTCCAAGCCTAAGATCAACTTGAACAAGCTCAAACTCTGGATCAGAACGGTCATCGAGAACCTTGAAGGACTTACTGATCGTGCCGGTAGACAGTTGATCGAAGAGTTTCAAACTTTGCCCGACAAAGCTAGGTGGAAAAGCTACTACCAAATCATCCCTGATCCTATCGCATTTGAAAATATCTCGGTAAGTCTTTTTTGCATGGATCCTGTAGCTCGTTTGCTTTTCTCTATGGCCGCAGACGAGTTGACTCACTGTTCTCTCTATAACTTGAGTATAGACACGGAACAATCGAACCGGTTATAAAGATTTCGAGTCTTTCAAAGATGACGTGCTCAGGATATTCAAAAATGCCCAACATTTCAATGAAGACGGTTCTATGGTCTGGAATGATTCGAAAGTCTTGGAAGTAAGTGATTGATATTCTTGTTATCTGCGGTTACGGAGACCAGTCAGTTCTGACGTGATTTGGTTATCCCTCAGGCTAAATTTATAGAATTAATCCATCGTCCGCCTTTAGAATTGGCCGACATCGTGCTTCCACATCTGTCTGAACTGAATGCGAAGAAACTCAACGGTGGCCAAGCAACGACTCCAACCAGCTCCATCAATGGTAAGCGAGTACATTGACCAGAGTGGCAATGAGTGTTAATTAAGCGAGATATTTATCAATTTGATTAGGCAAGCGGAAATCGCCAGGAAAGGAGACACCATTGAAACAGGTGGAGCTTTTGTCGACACTTGCGGCTCCAGCAGTCCCCAAGGAAGGCTTACGTCGCTCGTCGCGCTCGCCCTCGCGTCCGCCCTCTGCACTCGGCTCTCCTCCGGTCACCCGCTCTTCACGTGCGGTCTCTCCCTTGCCCAGAAGGGCCCCCTCGCCCATGGGCCCTCCCAAGAAACCAACACCCATTCCCCCACATTCTATCGCCAACCCTCCCCCAACTCGTCCGCCCTCTCGCTTGGCTAACGATATCTCGCCCGCTCTTATCTCGATCGCGAATTCTCAAATCGGGAGCCGTAATGTCGATCCTTTGGTTAATCAACTCGGCCCGACTACAAAAGTTAGATCGATGAATGTGATCCCGATTAAATCTGCGGATGGATATCCACCCAGTTCAGTTCCCTCCTATTAAGTTTTCTAAAAAGAGCGAATCACTGAGACCTTGTTTTGTTGGATAACATAGTGATCAATCGGTTCAGGATCACCAGTCGACCGAAAACGATGGAAACATTAAAGATCAAGAACAAGCGAGTGTTCCAGCACGGCTTCCGAGTTCCACGGACGACGGAGACGATTGTGATAGAGAGTGAGCTGAACCGAGCGTGGCCGATGACCCGGCAACTACGCTCATCGATCGGGCTGATCAAGGTCAAAGTCGAACAAGTCCGCGTCCGCGGCGTCCCAGAACGTCTTCCGCTCTCTCATCCTCCTGTTCATCATAATTCGACTCCTGCTCATCAGCCTGGAGAAGGATAACGGGGTGCTGGCTACCGAAGTCAAACTGGTCGACGGCCTCATCTCGTCGAACTCGCCTTAGTCGGCAGACCCGATGCTCATAAAAACGACCTCGCTGCCGCGTCCGTTAATCTTCTTGCTGGTATCGATGGGCCTGCAATCATTCCTTCTTCTAACTCCTCACTCCCTGGTACTCCGCTTTCTTCTACCTCCTCCTCCTCTTCCGGCGGATTAGTTAGAGAATCTTATCGGTTATTTATCTATAGATAATCTTCCTTTTCTTTACTTTCGTCTCTTTTTTTCTTTTTTTCTTTTTGGTCTCTTGTCCGGTCCCATTTTTTCCTTCTTTCTTCTCTCTTCCCTCTTTATTTTCACTCTGTTCTTCTTTTTTTTCTTTTTTGCTTTTTTGAAAGTCTATCTGAACAAGTCAGTAATAACCCATTTACACATAAAACATTTTATCTATAAACAGAGGTAAACAACAACGAAAATACTTAGATACATATATGTATATATGGATCTATAGGGCTGATATCTCTCTTCTCTGTGTCATTTCTTTTTTGAATTTTGATTGGTACTATTTCCTTTCCTTTTTTTTTTTTGAAGTTGATTATAACCACATAAATAAAAGAATTTAAACTACAATATAAAGATGAATTGATGCATGATGGATTGTTTTGTCTGGTGTCTATGAAGAGGGGTATGTACCTGGAAGTGTGGTCTCAGGCTCCAGCTTGGTGTTGTGGGTGAGGTTTTTTTTCAAGTGATGTGGATGGGATCTTTGAACAGAGGGGATCCCATGATCTGAGGCAACTTTGAGATGCATCGGATTGGCAGGTCAGTCAGAGTACATAGAGAGGGTCTGCTTATCTGTGTACATAGGACCCAGATCAAGTCCATACATATACACCCTGCTGACCAGCCAGAAGGAGCTCCATTTCCTGGTCAACCAGTGTGCATAAATTGCACGAGCTGCGGGGAATTCTTGGTTGCAGAACCTTAATTATGTGATTACAAGCCTTCTTAAGTGGGGGAGCCTATCAACCCGGGGTCTTGAGTTTACTTTACTATAACTGGGCCCTTCCAGTAGGGTAAAGCTGTTTTACTCTACTGGGTCTAATAGAGTAATGGTTTATTGATGATATATGAAGAGAGCCCCATTGAAGATCTTTGGACCCTAGTTCTTTCAATAAGCAGGGGTAAAAATGGGCTTTTTAAATGTCTTGCTGCGGTCATAAATAGCTTGTGGAAAGCTCCCCCCCCCCCCCCCCCAATAAAAAAAAATAAATAAATTGTTTTACCTCATACTGTACCAGTGAAAAAAAAAGAAAAAGAAAAAAATTGATGAAGGACATTATAGTAAAGAAAAATTGTTTTATATCAGGGACAATGTTTGGTATCTTTCTTATGGTGGTTTATTAATTAGGCACTGGACTTGAGGCCGTCTTCTCTAGTCCAAGTCATGAGAATTGTACTTCCATATTTATCTTGGTTTGAGATGGCTGCTGTGCAAGTGTCGAAGGAGCGGTGTGGTGGTGTGGAAGTTGGGTCTTGCTTGAATGAAACCGTGCGGTTGTTGCGCTGTGAAAGTGGTAAACTGAAAACCTGACTGGAAGCTTATCAGCCCCTATTCCGACTCTCACTACCAACCAACACAACTCATCTTCCCAAGTTAACACATCTTCCCAATCCTAACCAAATCAAAACAACCACAATCCATCCATCCCTTGACTAGCTATCATCCCCAGTTCGAGTCTGATCAAGATCGAGACTCCCCTGTAACACTATCCATCCTATAACTACCCCCTCTGAACGTCTGTTGTATCTTATTACCCGCTTTCCTCTTCAAATCTCTTCCTCTGCTATATACTCACTCACAAGCTCCAAAATACTCTCTTCTCCCTTATCATATTCAAAAATAACCTAAAAATTCTCCCTCCTGTACTGCTCTGCCGAACCTATCTTTTCACTCAAAATTAACATCCAAAAACCAATCGCCGAAATGTCGAACGCTCAAATAAGCTCCGAGAAACCTCAGCCGCACTCGTTTGTCTTCAGAACTTACAAGTTGGATCCCAAGACTAAGAAACCTCGTCCCTTCAATGGTAGATTCCTCTACATGGGCGGCTCTGCGTCCAAGTCGACCTTCAAGGTCAGTATCTGTTTCTTAGCTCCCATACACCTCTCGCCTTGATCGGTTCCTTGAACTGATTTCCCCATCCTTCGTCTCTCCCCTCAGGCCCTAGAATCTCGAGCTCAGGAGATCTTCCCGAACGCGAAGCATGATCTTGTTCTTTCGATCGCGCTGGGTGAACCCAAGCCGAGCTTGTTTCCGTTCAACTCATTCCCCAAGTTTGAAAAGATCATCGAGGTGATTCGAGTCAAACCGGGTGGCATTCCTCGTGATCGTCTACAACGAATGCTCATCGACGTTTGGATCACCACCTCAACCTTCTCCTCACCCAAGCCCCCTGCTAAACTGAGGTTCACTCGAGTGGAAGCTCGTGCCATCAAACAACAGATTGACGACGCTCTTGCATCCCTCACTAACTCCAACGAACCTACCGATCTCGCTAAAACCGGTGCAACCTCCAGATCTCTGATTTCTGACTCATTCACTGATTTAGAGGATATCAAAAACATGATCGGAGATTATTCCCCACTCGTTCCATTGGATGTTACGTCGTATGCGTCGGTGCTCAAGATGAAGCAGGCACCTCTGTCATCGGAACCAACCGGGGAAGCTATGGAGTCATCGATGGATTCATCTGTTCCCACCCCCGACGCTGTCTCATCCAGTGGCATCCAGCCCTGCATTGAAAGCTCTCAAGGTCACGTCGAGCAACCTCCTACATCTCTACCTGAACAACCAGAGTGCAACTCTAACCAGCTCCCTGAGGCATTGGTTGCGCAACTTGACTGCTTTGCTGGGGTTGACCTGCACCCAACCTTCCATCAGACTCGCAATTGGTACTCAATCTTGCTCGAGGTCTTCGCGGATGACTCTCGATACGTCATATTACCCCACACTCAATCTGAATCGTTGACGCTGCAAGTTTACTTCCTCAACGCCAACAGTCGAGCCGAGCTTGTCTTCATGGCTCGAAACTATCCCGTCGGTATGCTCCAATCCCCTTACAAGAGGCAACAAGCGGACGATCAAATGAGAAGCTATTTGGCGGAACACATCTCTCATGTGACTATCCCCAAGTTCCACGCAGTCAACGTTTGTGACACTACGATGTCCTTCTATATGGTGGATTGTCATTCTGGACGCATCCTTCCTCGACGTGAAAGCAACGATTCAGTGGATCATATACTGCCTGATCATCACCTCATGAACTTATGGAAATCTGAGTTAGGTACGACTGCCGGCGACGAGACATTGTATTCATTGATCTCTCAGGTTCGCTCAATGGTCAGCCAACATGAGAAAATCGAATCTTGGCCAAGCCAGCTTCCGGAGCTTACTGCCATCGAGCAGTCTACTTACGATCATTTGTCATCGCTGAGTACTTTGAATTACGTCATCCGAGAGGCTGCGCCCTCTGGTCGATATCGACTTGCTCCGTTATGGCACAAAAGCGACTCGATCCATGGGGCCACTTTTGCTACCTTCTGCCTGGTACTTTACGACGTGGAAAGTGGTCCGGTGTTGATAGTCCAACACTCTACCGATCTTGGTACTTCCGCATGTCGTTTGAAATGTGATCAACTGATTCGAGAGTCTTTCGCCCACTTGGCACCTGCTTGCAAAACAACAAATCTTCATGGCGTGAGCTTGTTGAACAATCAAGCTAGATTCTACAATCTGAATATCGCTACTCGCCTCATCACCCCCAAAACGTCTCCTGTGGACCTATTTGATCGTGTGTTACCTGACGATTATCTATCCGGTGCCTGGGATTGGAGACTTCAAGACAATAAATTTCTCGAAAAATTCCAGATGATTTTGGCCGACTGTCAAGTGACTCAATCCAAGGTGGATCCCACCGCGCCAGCGACCTCCACCAAACCCCCGCTCCACCGCAAGACCTCCCCCAGTCCTCAGTTATTAGGCTCCCAACTTAGCGTGATCAGTGGCCATCAAGTTTCCGGTCCCCAGATGCGCTTCATTTGTGATGGCTGCGATGAAACCATTTCTGGTTTCCGAGCTAAATGTGTTCATGGAACCTGTCCGGACTTTGATCTTGTGAGTTCATTTATCATCAGCGCTTCAATCGTCTCCGATGTCATTTTTTCTCTGATGCTTTTGGCTTTTGTTCAAGTGTGCCAAGTGTTACGAGAGAAAAGATGATGTTCATCCAGAGCATCCTTTCAAATTGTTGATCCAGCGCAACAACCAAGATACTCTTTCAAGTTTTGCACAAAAGCAATGGTTGCCCGCCGTAGATCCAGTGTGCATCTGCGACTCCTGTTATTGTGTAATTCCAGGCGTCGTCAAAAAATCGCCCTTCTCAATAGGCCATGACCTGGTAAGTCGTGTTGAAACTCGATTGTCTGTCGAAGCTTGCCCATTGACTCTCTGATTCCACACACTAGTGTCCCAAATGTTTAGGTGATCGAAAGGGCCCACAAGACCCTAAGAAGGTGTCTGAAGTAGCTGAAGAAACGGGATATCTCGAAATCGAAGAGGATCCAATATCTTCAGCCGTACCGCTTGCATCACCACCGCGCGTGTCCATCAAATGCGATAGTTGTTCTCACACAATCACTGGCTTCAGAGCCAAATGCTCACATGATGAATGTCCGGATTATGATCTTGTAAGTCGCGTCGCTTTAATGTCGGTCAGCAGAGTAGATGCTTACTTGTTGTGTACAGTGCTCGAAGTGTTATGAGCTTCGACGCGTTTTTCATCCATCCGACCATTCCTTCAAAACCTTTGAAGTGACGGTGGATGCTGCAGGTGCAGTTGTCTCGTGTAACTCGCACAGTGACCGCCCCAAAACCCTTGGCCAACAACACACATCGGACAAGACCCACTTTGCGAAATGTGACTTGTGCGCCCAACGCATATCTGGTGTCAGATGGAAATGTGTGGATTGCGTTGATTGGGACAGTGTAAGGATTTTTCACACTCAATTCAGCCACTCTACTTGTGGACTGTAGTGACTGATTTGAACGTCCGATATGAAAATAGTGCGAAGGATGTTTGAAAAACGTCCCCGCGGTTCACCCCTTCCACAGGCTCGTCCCGATCCATGACCCGAACCAACTTTCCCACTTGCCTCCACAACATCTCACCAATCACCACCACGTTTTCTGCGATGGATGCGATGAACCGATTCGTGGGATTAGATACAAGTGCTCTCATCCCGATTGTCCTGATTACGATCTCTGTAGTCGCTGCGAATCTTCTCCTATCCCGAGACATGACATCGATCACGCCATGCTCAAGATTCGTGATTCTTATGCTTGGCAGGCTGGAAAGTTGAGATCTAAATTTACTCAGACCAATCATCACCGATCTCCAATCGCGCTCTCATCTCACCCAAAGAAAGTCAAAAATGCGACTAAGGTCTACCAACGGGAAGCTGTTACATTAAATGCACGAGTAATCTTGAACGACCATCCAGTCGCTCATCATCAGAACTCTTTCGATCATCCCGAATTTGATAGTCCAGTCGCTGTGCCCAAAATTTCTGTTCAACAGTCACCTGCCAACCCATCATCGCCCTCGGGATGTCGATCTCCTTCACCACAGCCATGGTCTAACAACCATCCAGTCGCCCATTCTCAAAGTTCCTTCGATTATCCCGAAAGTAAACTGTATTTGCCCGACTTTGCTGGTCAAGAGTCACCTGTCAACCCATCATCACCCTCCAGGTGTCGATCTCCATCACCACAGCCATGGTTTAACGACCATCCAGTCGCTCATGCTCAAAGTTCCTTCGAATTCGACAATAGAACCGATATGCCCAACTTTGCCGGCCAGGAGTCGCCTGTCAACCCATCACCGCCCTCAATGTGTCGATCTCCTTCAATTCGTGCCGAAACAGTTCTTAGCTTTCAACTCGAGCCTGATGTGCAGGATCCAGGTTTCGAATCTAGCACCTCTCCTGGTCCAATCGTTGTCGTTGAAACACCGGGAGAGCTTTTCGTTAACTCGTCCCCTTCATGCTCTGGCAGTCCACTCGAGGCTTCTCAGTCCGATGTCAACTATCACAGCAACAACCTAGACGCTTGGGAGGTTCCCAACACCAAGGCCACCCTCGGTCTTCCGGGCGCATTTCCTGACGAAAGCTGTTCTGCTGTTCAAGCTGCCTCCCAATCATCATTGGACCGGGTGGTGGTACCTTCTGATGATAATGAGGAAGAAACCAAACCTCGATTTGGGGCGCACTTTGTGTCAGACTTGAATCTGCCTGATGGTACGTGCGTCTCGGCCGGGGCGCGGTTTACGAAGATCTGGTTGGTGCGTAACACCGGCTCAGACAAATGGCCAACGGGCACTCAGATCGCTTTCAACGGTGGATTTCATCATTCCTCTCAAGAATCATTTTCGGTCCCTGCCGCGGTTCCCGACGAGGTAGTCGAAGTTTCCGTCGAGACGATGGCCCCAGAGGACTCGGGTGGCTACATGCAGGTCTGGAGGCTTGTCAGCCCCGATGGAACTAGATTCGGAGACCGTCTCTGGATCAATTTACAGGCTATCAGCGAGGACCAAGTGAACATTGACGATCCTAACTCGGAGTCGTTATCCACTTCTGTCGGCTTCCTCCTCCCTAATCCCTCCGATCGTCCCCTAAACGATCATCAATCTGAATCCTCTCAACATTCTGTGACTCATCCTCCTGGTAACAATCCAACTGAATCTAGTGCCGACTCACAACAGCCACAAGAAGAGCTTGCTCCAGCATCTTCCGAATTTGACTCGGTCGATCAACCCTCTTCTTCTTCTAACCTTTCCTCTGCCACTGACTTTGATGATCTGTCCTATGAATTCACGTCTGAACATGGTGACAGTGAGATTGGCGAGGACTCATTCGACTTCGAACTCGTCACTGATTCTGACTCTTCGGCCCAATAAACTCACACCGATCTTTCTTTCTTCCTCATTTCCTCTTTATTTTTGATCCTGCTTTCTCACACACTCATTGCTTGAGCATATATACACACACAAAGATGCATTTAAATGTATTCTATATCTTCACATTAACTTTATCCTTCTCCGTCACTCTTTTTTTATACTTCTTTTGGTTTTCCTTTTTCTTTCTTTGTTTGACTCCTACTATTTATATATTTATATGTATGTATTATTTATTTATCTTATCTCTTTTAAGATGCAATTGAATCTAACAAACAGTTCATGACAAACAGTTCATGCTACAAGTGGACAGGATATTTGCTGTGGGAATAGAGTGGCAGTGGTTCTGCCAAGAGAAACTCTTCATAACCATATAAGACAAGTGATAACGATTGATTTATGTAGATATGGATGTAAAGAACATTGGCTGCTGGGCTTGAATGAAAACTTACGATCAACAGCTTGATAGGGCCCACTCTGAAAGTGGGCATCAAGAATAGGTGATGCCATGGATATCCTTGGGCCATTTCAATTTGCATTTCATCCATTTTGGTGACCAGACCTGGTTTTTGTTTACGAGCAAGAGCCAGACTGACTTCACCCTGCTCTATGACTATTGTGCCCATGCCAAGCTTAAACAAAGCCAGCCGTTGGGAGGCGGGCTGCCTCTTCACGGGTATGTACACATAGAGCAGGCGCAGGGGCCCTCCGGGCTGTAGCCCACTGGACAACCCGCCCGAATGCCAGCTGGTATCTGCCAAACCCGGTGGGCCGCTGGACGGTGAGATATGCAGTGGATATACGGACCAACTGACATCCACCCTTGAACAGTCTCCATATCCCCATCAACCCAACAAGCTCATCAAACATCTTCCACCTCCCTTCAACACTCGAAATACCTTCGTCGACCTTAACACGATGCCTCCAACAATACCTCCTCAAGTTGAGTCCCACTATGCTCACCTAATTTCCTCATCTTCTCCATCTGCTACGTTCATCTGACCTTCAAACACTTCTCATCAATCCCATCTCGCCAACGACCACTCAACGTCTATCCGACGATCACATTCTCAAATAGACTCTCAAGCGAATCAACCGCGAACTACTGACGATTCAAAGCGAACTTCCCGAGGGGATCCTATCAGTCGGCCCGAAATCGCTTGCGAACATCTACGACTGGCAGGGCTCGATTGCTGGTCCTTCAGGATCCTGTTATGAGCATGGCGTCTTTCACTTCAACATCTTACTTCCTCACGATTATCCCTTCCATCCTCCTCAGGTCAGTCCCATCATTCAATAAAATTATCCAGTCCTTCGATTTCAACTCGTACTCAATTTCCTTCCTTTTACTCTCCTCTACACAGGTCTCCTTCAAAACTCGCATCTTTCATCCAAATATAAACCCCCAGGTATATATGCTTTTTCCTCCAGTCGCTTGCTCACCATCTCTTCTTGCTGATTCATCCATCTGGCTCTTATGTTCTCAAACCAGGGCGGAATCTGTCTGGATATCTTGACTCGTCAGTTCCATTTCTTCTGCAGGTTTTTTTGAGGACCTGAGCCTAATTTATACCCGTTCTTTCTTGACAGATAAATGGTCTCCTGCATTAAGTATTCAAAAGGTAAATACCATCAGATCTGTGTGGATTAATCACTTCACAAGAAAACAAATCCTGATCCGATCTTTTTTGGGAATTGGTTTTGATTGCAGGTTTTGCTATCAATCATATGCTTGCTTACCGACCCGAATCCACAAGACCCGCTTGCACGAGACATCGCACGGCTTTACATCTCAAACCGACGCGAGTTTGAAGCAACAGCGAAACGATGGGTAGATATGTATGCCCGTCCACCACCCCCAGCAATCTCCGAGAAGGTGACAGAAGAGCCCAAGAAAGCGCCTCTCAAGAGCACGACTCAAAAATCCAAGCCTGCGATTATTGATATTGATGATGATGAGATCGAGGTGGTCAAGCCTGGCCAAACTACTCAGTCTCTTCAGACTGCTACTACCTCACGAAAGCGCAGCGGGGAGTACAGCAACACTCTTCAGACCGCTACCACCTCAAGGAAGCGAAGCGGAGACTACAACAATAATGCCACAAGCTTATCCTCCGGCGGTCCTTCTACTCCTGTCGAATCCGAGTCGAATCCGCAAGCCAAGCGGCCCCGTAAACAAGTCATTGAACTTGATTGATCTCAGCCTCAGATTAATTGGACTATCATTTACATTTTCATCAGGCGTGTATGCCTATCGAACGCTCAATCCCATGTTATTCAATCATCATCGTCACCACCACTCACCCTCCTTATCCTCCTCATTTCCTACTCTTCAACCAACATTTTTATCATCATTCTTGTCCTTTTCCATATTCATTTTTTTTACACCGTCCGTATGTTACAAGACTCAATATATGGACATCCGAACAAGCCATCATCCATCGTGAATTGATCAAGTTGTTACCAAATCTTATCCGTCTGCTCTCGAATCGCCCCCGAAAACCATCCTGAGTCATCCGCCTAATATATCGATGAGATAGAGTCTTCCAACCCTCTCCTACTTCTATGTTGTAAATAACTTGTTGTTTTTTCATTTTACTATCATCATGTAATCCAAATCAGTTTCTTGGTTGCATCTTCAACGTATATTTATCGGCATGTAGTCGGAAGACATTGAAGTTCAAATCATCACCGAATCATCATCCCTCATCATCTTATTTATCTGCTATCCTGGACTATATATATATATATATAAATGCGATGAAGATGTAGTTCTTGTTCCGATGCGGTTTCCATCTGCATCAGATTCTTCGCCTCATCGCTGAGTTGGTTCCCCTCCACATTCTCATTCATGTATCCTCAATCTATTCTCATCAACATCAATGTAAAAAAAAAGACACACATGTCTAGGTTTCCTTCTTGGTAGTCCCTAGGACGCGCTTAGACTTGAAAATGTGCTTTGTTCACTTTTTCTTTATGGACACTTTGAGGGATTCGCTCAGTCTAAGAGGAAACCCTTTCTGCTTGGAGCCTGTGCATTTATTACACATCCTCCAATGGCTGGAACTTGAACTTAAAAAAAGGCCTCGCTGAGTTGATCAAGCTCTGACTAAAACATACCATGTATGTAATAAGGCCTGCCACGCGTCCTGTGGCGGATTCAAATGAACTCGGTTAGATGTATGTAGCACATTTCTCGCAATACTCAGTCTCAAGAGACTCAAGTGATCATAAAAAATTGGGTGTTGTAAGTGGGGGGGATAAATTGTTCATCGACGGTCATGAGGTAGTATGTACAATAGGATACACATCATCAGAACGTATGAGGGGTAAAAAAATATAATGACGGGCAGGAGTAATTTGGAGATATTCTAATAAGGGACTGCAGAGGATCGGGGGGAGACGAGAAAAAAAAAGGAACAAGTTCTTATGATCGCTTGAGAGCCGCGCTTGTGGAAACGACTTGTGCGGACGAGAACCTGGTATCAAGCGATGCGAGGCAAACCAGAAATCAGCAATCAGAGCTGGGTGTGTGACGAGCAGAATGCAAGTAGAGTGAATCTCACCTCCGTAAGTCGCGCTCGGAAGTCTGCACTTGACCGTGTAGGGATCGGCGGACGGCTTGAGTGTGCTCGGCGCGTTGGATGAAGCTGAGTCTGTTGGTGTACAAGGAACCGGCACTTTCGTGCTTCTTCTCATCTGGAGCAGGGACGGGGGTTGGATGTTGTGACTTTTGAGTGGCTCGGTACTTCTTGATAAGAGCACGGGTGGCAAATTTGATCAAGTCTGGGAATAATTGGAAGCAGAAATCAGTTACAAATGTTGAAAATGTTTGAGGTCGAAAGGAAATCGATGAGAGCTTACCCATGGGGAGGAACCAGATCAAATTCCAGACCCATGCAACACCCACCCAGGACAATGGGATTGCCTGGACAGAGGAGAACTCCATCGTTCCGAAAACGGCCAACAACGAGGCCACGGTTTGAGCAATGCAGAAAGCGCCAACCAGAGCCAAAGAGGGTCGCTCCATGAAAAACCAGCTGTGGGACCGGGTGATGAAGATCAAGGCTTGAGAAATAATCGCAACCTGGAGGTAGATGATCATGTGTAACTGGGGATCGTTGGCGTCCTTCAAAGGCGACATGCCGAAGGTGTCCTCGAAGAAGGTAGTGTTGACAATCACCACAAACAAGAGAATGGTCGACAAAGCCAAATGAAGACCATAGGCAACGGCGTATGTGACTATGGAAGTAAAGATCGTTCAGCATACAGCCCAAAAGTTTATTTAGAAGAGAAAGGAGCTCACAGATCTCGGCGAGGTCCCAGTGGTCAGGCTCGTTGTTGGGCAAGACGCGATCAAGCGAAATAGTCATGACGGTTCCGTCGTTCAAGATAGCAATGACCAGGACCATGAACGGAGGGAAATCAAACTGGAAAGCAAAGGCCATGATGGCAAAGCCGACGACGATACGGATGGTGACGGCACAAGCGTAGATCGAGTAATTCCTCATCCTTTGGAAGACGATTCGAGACTGTCGGATGGCGTGTACGATCGTCGAAAGACCAGGCTCGGTGAGGACAATATCGGCGGCTCCTCTGGCGGCGTCAGTAGCACCTTCAACGGCAATTCCGACATTGGCACGGGCAAGCTAGTCGAGCAATGCAAACGAGTCAGCATCGAGTTTTAAGGACCGGATTACTCCCTGGAGACTTACAGCAGGGGCATCGTTGGCACCGTCACCGGCTGAGGAAAGGCGGAAGGTAGAATGCGATTTGGTAAGTCTCTTGTGACGGATCATCATGATATGTATGAAACACTTACTCATGGCGACCATGTGACCCAAGCTCTGCAGCTTTTTGACGATATCGTACTTGTGCTCAGGGTACACACCCGCAAATCCATCGGCGTCTGTGTGAACAGGGATTGTGTTAGCTAGCTAGCTGTTAACTTCTCAAGACACAAATGATTGAGAAACGTACCGAGAATCATGGTATCAACAGAAGAAAAGTTGCTTCCGGGCGGGGGTCCCTCTTTGAGAACCTTCGAGGCAAACATGTTGTCACCAAGTCCTAATCGTCGGCCAGTTTCCTTTGCGATGGCAAGTTGATCACCAGTGACCATCTTAACCTTGAGTCCGAGGCTCACTGCATCATCAATCGTTTGCTTGGTGTCGTCTCGGGGAGGGTCGAAGATGGATAAGAGACCGATGAGCTGGAAGCCGCTTCCGGGTCCTTCGGCATCGCCGCTGGGAACATCCTCATAAGCAACGGCCAAAGCTCGCAAACCTCGACGGGCAAACTCTTCAACATCGGCTTCAAGCTGTCGCTCAATATCGTCGGTCTTGTTGTAGGTGCACAGGTCCATGATCTTTCCGGTCATTCCTTTGGTCACTCGGCGCATTTCACCCGTGGCAATATCGATGTAAGTAATTTCAGTCCGCTTGGAAACTGGGTCGAAGGGCTTGAAATCAACGAGTTTGATGCCTCGACGCGCTACATCAGCTCCGACGGTACCGACCACACATGCATCAATCGCATCTTGGTTCTCAATCCGGGAAGCATATGAGGCAAGAACGCAGACATCTTCCGGGCCAACGTCGGAGTAGGTCTTGATGGTAGATTTGTCAATCGTGAGCTTGTTGGTAGTCAGAGTACCGGTCTTGTCAGAGCACAAGATCGTGACTCCGGCGAGTTCCTCGATGGCCGTGATACGGGTGACAATAGCTTTGTACTTGGCGAGCTGTTGAGCGCCGACAGCAAGAGTAACAGACAGGACAGTAGGCATAGCGATCGGGATACCACCGATGAGCAACACAAGGATGTTGTCCAAACCCCGACGGTAAGAGTAGCGGAATGCCCCATAGAGAACGATGAGCTCTGCATATAGAATGTGGAAGACCAGAAAATCAGTGCTCTGATCTCTGCTTTGAAAGAAACGATGCATATATTACCCACCGAGTGCAATGGCAATGCCGATGGAGACGAGACAGAAACCGCCAATCTGTATAGCAGAGATATATAATAGTCAGCCACCTGCATTGAGAGTTGCAATCAAGTCACCAGCTGAGAGCTCGGAATCACCTTGGCCAAAACTGCTTGCATGTGCCCGGTGGAGTCATTCTCCGCACCGACCAGAGTAGCTGCTCGCCCGAAGAATGTGTTGGCACCCGTAGCACTCACAATACCCTCAGCCTCACCCTGCTTGCAGATCGATCCCGAGAAACATTGGTCGCCGACCGATTTGGAGATTGGCAGCGATTCACCGGTCAAGGCGGCTTGGTCGATGCTGACATTGATGGCATCGTACAGACGACAATCTCCTGGTACGACATCGCCGATCTGGAAAAAAAGTTAAAACAATCAGCAAATGTGGTAAAAACTGGAGGACATAAGTGATTAATGAACTAACCTTGAAAGCAACGATATCACCAGGCACTAAGTCAGCTGAGTCGATTTCTGACCATTGTCCATTCCGGCGTGCTTTGGCTTTGGGAGCAAGGGAGTCCATCAGGGCTTTCACCGCATTTCCAGCAGACCTCTCTTCGTAGTACCCGATACCGGAGTTCTTTGTGCGTAAAGTAAGACACATGAGTCCTTCATCTACCCCCTTGCCCTTGGCATATGAAATAACTTACGATGAGCAGCAGGGCCATAATTCCAACGAAATCTTGCCAGTCTGGAGGCCGATTCTCACCGTTTGAGAGCGCAATCGAGACCACCGCTGCACCTTCCATGACCCATGACAGCGGGCTAATGGACAGAAAGGTAGATTTTCGTAAGCTCAAGTCATTTGGAGGACTGGAAGACTTGAGACTTACTTCCACATGAAGCTTAAGAACTGCAAGAACGGATTGACCGATTTTTCTTCCAAACGGTTGGGCCCAAAGATTGCACGTCGTCGTTCAACTTCGGCGGTATCAAGACCATTTTCACTTGTTCTGTAAAGTACAAAGGGCAGCTCGTCAACACTTGTTAGGTTGTACTTCGAGCCGAATTTTACTCACTGTAGCAATACCCAAACGTCCTCCAGCTCAACTTGTTCGAGGTCTACTTTTTCGCGATCATAAAGATCTTCGGCATTGAGCTGGATGGTCTTCATGTCAACCAGGCATTTCGTTGCACCTTTCTCTTCCTCGAACGTCTTGTCGAAGTTTCGCGCTTTGGCGGGGATCTCAGAGTTCGTCATCTTGTCTCGTGTGTGGTTTGGAAACGGAGTCAGGCTTAGGAAAGGAAAGTTTACGGGCTGGCGGCCGGGTTGAACGTGTCAAACGGTCAACAATGGCAGGTTCGTTGGGCGTAGGTCTTCACCAAAAGTCAAGGTGTTATAAGGTCGTATCAGGTCCTTTCAAAGGCCGGAGTATGCTGGCGTCTAGCGCTAGGATTGTAAGATGATGGATGAAGAGAACCAGTCGTAAGGATGGATGGGAGGAAGAGCAATCCGGATAGCCACAGCCTTCTCTTTATACCTCTGACCGGGACACATGAAGACCAAGTCTAACTTCATCGAGACTCTGGCAGTGTCTTGGGCTTTCAATAGGATTTGTAGAACATGGAAGCTTAGTGCTCCAAATCCTAGTGTTCCTATGTTAGTAGTTCAACCCCGATCCCTTGGTGATCCTCACTAGGCTGAGTTTAAGGCTGCCGAGGGAGGCATAGGGATTCAACCAGCTTGTACAGATTAATAGAGCTGCCCCGATTCTTTGCAGCACAGATTGATCATCGAAGGGGAATTCCCACACAAGTTGGTGCACAAACTACCGGGAAGAACAACGGATCAGTCGGAGAACCTCGCCCGGCACTGGGAAAGATCCGGGCCTGGCTCACCGGCGCCGCAAGCGGATCCCGAACATCCGGCACCGGTGCCGCATGAACGTCGGAGTGATACACTCATGTTGGTAGGACGGTAGGTGAAATTGTGACCTAGGCAAGACGGTCTGATTCGGCTGCGACTCAGCCAGCCAGAGGAGACAAATATTGGTCTCCTCATGGTTACACTTTGGCGGGATCCATACCAAATACGGTCTACGACTCTAAGGCCCCAAAGCAGGGTCACATGCTGTCACAATGAATACTTTGTCAAGTTTTCCAACATATGCACAACATCTATCCCCCCCCCCCATGAAGTGCAAGATGTCAGCAAGCCATCCTGAGTCATCAATTTAAGTCAGGTCCACACCCAAAGCCTGAAGTAGACCTCAAAGGCTGGGTTAAACAAATTAGTTATTGGTGTTGATAACATCCCAGACATTTTGCAGTTTCAACTACAGTGCTTTCTGAAGTTCCCATCTCCTTACCATTCTTATAATCAACATAACAAAACTGTCATAAAGCAAAACATCTCCATTCAGTGCAACCCAATAAATACTGGATTTCCAAAAAGCTCTCTTTCACCCCAACCCAGCTTAGGTACCAGTTAGGTTCTGCTAGATTTGTGAGAAGAGGGTTGGATTCATAACTATGTAGCTGCTTGCACATTTTACTCTTTGACTTAGTGTTCTATTTGAATTGGTCATCCTAATTCCTAGTCACAGCCACCCACCTAGTCAAAAACATGCCTACTAATTGGTTTTTATCTTTCATTGGAGGACTTCCCATTGGATCTGGGACCAACGGTGAAACAGATACAATAGAATACAGTATCTGCAGATATTTTGGTATTGTATCTTTTTTTCCAAAACAAATTGTATTAGGGCATATCACATATTGTCAGGGGGTACCAAAAATAAACAAATCCACCATTATCATGTATTTTATTGGTTTCACTGGAGGACTTCCCATCACCTAAATCACTTGATCTGGAAGGGGGTCCTAAGCTCTATTGGCTGGTGAAAACGTGATCTTGATTGATTTTCACCAGCAAATAACGTTTAGGATGTCCTTCTAAATTTACAGATTTGGACGATGGGAAGTCCTCTGCTGGAGGACTTCCCGTCGCGGTTTAGAGTGCTTTTTAGACCTCACTCAGTCCTAAATTAACAACACGATTAAGACTTTAACCAGCTCACATTAGAGCTGTTTCCAGAAGGCTTCAGAAAAAATGGTTTTTTGATGAAAAAAATAGATCTAAGCGGTGTAAATCAACTTCTGGGAAGCTCGTAGATTGCGACGGGAAGTCCTCCACTGTTGCTGGGACCCTCACAGATGTCAATTTAGACCTGGAAAGTCTAGAAATTTTTGAGGCTCTAAATTGCTTCTGGGAGACCCGCAGATATTGACAGGAAGTTGTCCAGTGAGAGAGCTCCCTTTGGATATGGGATCCTGGTAGACGTTGATTTAGACCCAAAAAGTCTGGAATTTGCTGGGAAGTCTAGCTTTCAAGTCTCTAAATTGCTTCTAGGAGACCCACAGATATTGATTGGAAGTCATCCATTATCAAAGGCTCATGTGAATAAAATCATTTCATTTATTATTGAAATATATGATGTGACTGCGCTTCTGTGTATCCTAATTATATCTTAGACCATTCTGTAAATGGTTATTCAAATTTTTACATGATGCTCTAAAAAATGTATTGAAAAATGTTTTGAAGTTTTTCTGTAAACTTTTTCCTTCCCCAATGGCAATCCTTCTGATCTCATGGTACCCTGTTCTCAGAATCCAATGCTCCAAAGATTTCCAAATTAATGCAGAATAGAGCTTTAGCCGACTAGTATTGGTGTGATTTAAAAAATAAATTTCAGATGCTTTGAAACTTTCTATTGCATCTCTAAACACAACTGGAACTGCATCATTCTTTGACTTACTGAATTCATGTGGGACAATTAGCATGTGTATCATTTGTACATAGAAAAGGAATATAACTAAAAGATTTTTTTGCATTCCAGAACAAAACTTTCCATCTTGAAACTCTTCATCAAAGTTGATATTGGACTGTCTTTCCCAAATTATTAACCATAGATTTGTGTTTTTCAACAATTGCTCAAAGCTTTTCACCTGCAATTTTCGGGAAACTCTTCCTTTTGCTTTTGTTAGTTCATTCCCAAAATTGACCAAAAACTGGGTAGATTTTTCCAAGTTCAGCATAATGCTCCCTGTTTCATGAGAAACTTCCATATTTTGTAATAGTTTGTTCAGATTGTCTTGGACTTTGTTATTGGGGTGTTCAGCAAAAAGCATGCATTTCTTGAAGTACAACCTTTCAATTTCCAATTTTACAGTTGACTTGAGGTGATTAGTCAGCTGTTTGATTGAACATCTGAAAATGGTGTTGAAGAATATCTTGAAGTTAGCATTAATATCTTTTCTTTGTGGATTCCTCATGGAAAGTCTCCTGAGTTCCTCATTTCCCCAATCTTGAATCCAGTAGTAAAGGAATTGCCATAGATAACTAGGGATTAAAACAGATTTATTAAAGGAAACATGACCTTCAAGCTTTTCAGATAAGATGCTTCCAGTGTTCTTGAAACTTTTTATTGCATCTTTCATGAGAACTGATGTGTTTTCCTTTTTTGTCTCAAAAGAATCAAGAGGAATGAAAATTGTATCAATCATCTGCACATAAAATAAGAACAATGGGAATATTTCTTTGAACTTCCAAGATGCATCTTGCATTTCTGCCACAAAGTTGATATTGGATTGTGATTCCCAAAATTTGAACCATAAATTCTTATTTTCTAAGAGCCCATTCAAATCTTCTCTTTTCAACTCTGAAGACACACTTTTCCTGACATAAATCCCAGTCCTAGTAACATCATCTTCATCCTTCATTTTGTAAGCCTTGCTGATCTCACCATACCACAAAGATGCATTTTCTGAATTCAATATAATGCTTCCTGTTTTTCCAGTTTCCATTACTTTGAATAATGAATTCAGTTCTCTTACAACACACTAATATGGGTCTTTACCAACCAGGCTATCTTTATCAAAATATTTTTTTTTCATCTCTAACTTTTTATCACTCTTCCCTTTCTTCACATTAAGTAAAGATAGAGGATTATTGGAGGAAATTTGTTTTGGATTAGTTTCATTGTATACGGGTATTTTTAGATTCTTATAAGAGATTTTGCTACTCTTGGAAATTTTGATTTTAGATCTTGAAGTACCACATTTTGAATTGTCTATCTTGTGAGATTTTATATTCAATTTTGAAAGAAATTCAGAGCTTGCTTTCTGTTCAAATTTATTTTTTCTTTGCACAAGGCTGGTAGTAGGTACCACTATTCATTTCACATGATTGTGTCCAAGGAATTGGTTTCTGGATGCTAGAATTAATAGGATCATTTCTTTGATGTTGCTTTTGAGATTTTTCCTGTAAAATTGATTCAAATTGAGGCTGCTCTTCTCTTCCTTTATCTATTGCTGTGGGTATGCTCATACCATCTACATCATTCCTGTTATCCTTAAATTCTAATATTTTGAAATGGCTGGGATTTGATTTTTCTAATGTATTTTGCTGATTTTCTTCTACCATCATGCAATGGGAGAAAAATTTTCTTTTCAAACTCATTGATGCAGCCAATGAGGCACTACTTCCATGAATCCTTTCCTTTTGGATTCTAGGTGAGGGGGTGTCACTATCACCTGATCTCATAGAGATCCGCTTCTTGTGCTTATTTTGCATTGATTGTGGGTTTGAAAGATAAGGCTGATGAAATCTTCTGAATTGTACATCCGTGACCTCATCACCAGCTTTTATTCCAGCCCAATTGTTTTCTACATTTCTAGAAGTAGAATGTTTTTCATGCAAAGCCTTTGAAGGGTTAAATTTTGTTTCTTGAATTGGATTTGGTTTCATTTCCTTTTCCAAAAGACTTGATCTAATCAAGGAGACATCATTTTCTCCAGCTGAATTTGGAGTGATAGAGATGGGTGTAGAATTGGCCTCTGTCCTTGATTTAAAATTTCTACAAGTCTGATCATCCCAACTCTTCCTCATTCTAGAATCTGAAATTTGGCTTGGACTTTTATCAATGTAATTGAACCTTGAAATTTTCTGATATCTGCCTTCAATTTTGTGATTCAAATGTCTGCCTTTATTTCCAAATCCTTCCTTTTCTGCATTTTCTACATAAGATGAGGTCAAAAAGTCACCTAACAGATCTTTTTTCTTTTTAATACTTTGTGGTTGATATTGTGATGTGGAATATCTCAAATAATCTTCTTGTTTGGCTTTTTTTACTGAGAGGTTTCCAAGCCCATGGTTTAGATGGGTGTCTTGCATTGTGTGGTCAAGTAGTGTTTTTCTTTCCTTATTTTCAGGGAATGATGAAGTTATCAAGCCCAAACTTCCAGATTCTTGGTGTTTTTCCATATCCTGAACTCCTAATTCCCCATGAATGGTGGTATTTGGAACCAGAGATCTACTGGAGAAAGGAGTAGATTTTTCAGAATAGTGGCCTTCTTCCATTTCCAAATCTCTGCCATCATTTCCAATCCAATCCAGTGAGTTTTTTATTGTGTTTACTGAAACTTCTGCCCCATTTTTTTATCTTTACCTTGGTTGGTGAGCTCAATGACAGACTAGGCTGTACATTTTGGGTATTGGAGGATTGGATTTTGATTATTTCAATGGAAAAACATTTTTTTGGA